AACCCAATGAGTAAATCGATCAATCATAAATTGTTAAGTGGTTGTAACACATATCCAAAGACACATACACACTCACACACACACATGCACAGACGAACACACACACACACACACACACAAAACATTAGTACGTATTCTGACACCAACCATTTTTTTAACATTTTTAAAATTATTATTTAAATTTGTAATTTGGTTTATATTCAGCAAGCATGATCAAATTTCACCTTTACCTCCGTCTGTCTTTCTTTGTCTTGTCTGTCTTCACCTCCCTGAGGAGGGCGTTAATGGCTGCAACACAGTTATGAAACTATAGCAGCCATTATCTACCATATTCTACTGTGGATTTTGTTATTTTTAGTTACATATAATAAACTTGTATTATTATTTTATGTACATGCATGAAAGTTTTCCATAATCTCCTCAAGGGTAAATTACGTACGATTGGATGAACTATGGCCGAACTATCCGAGCCTGTAGCGGAGGTGGTGGGCTTTAATAATAAATTTAATAATATTTAATTATGGCATGTCACGACTGATGGCATTTGTTTATCGGTCTCTGCAGAGTAACAGTAGTTATGTCTATGTATAAATTCTCTGTAGAGTAACAGTATTTATGTCTATGTATAAATTCTCTGTAGAGTAACAGTATTTATGTCTATGCATAAATTCTCTGTAGAGTGCATGTACTGTTGTGACTTTTGATTATATTTAGTAACTAACTGGTACCCACGACTTCTTTCGCGTTGAATTTAAAAACAGCTGCCTTAGTGAGCCCGGACCGGGCAAAATTTTAAAGGGTTTTTCTGAGAGGAAAAGTAGCCTACGTTACTCCTTATATAGACAGCAACAGCAAGTAAGTAAAATATTATCAAAATCGGTCCATCCGTTTAGGAGATTACCCGGAACAAACAGACAGACAGACAATTAACTGGCGTTGGTTGCTGGCTGGAGTTGGTTTTAAATATGCATAGGTATCGCGCAAATAACCGTGTGAGCATGAAACAACTTATTATTTTGACATTACAAACAATTGCAACAAAGAAACATAAAAACAAAACTTTATATTTATTTTTAAAGAAAATAGAAGTCTGTTTATGTTAGAAAGCCTCACAAGTTCAAAGTAACGATATGAATAAAAAAGGTTTGATTCCTACATCCTTTTACTTGTAGCTTTATTATTGTATTATTGTAATTACGAGTAGTATTTAAATTAAAATGATAAAATACTGAATTACAAATTGAAAAACTATAAATTAATAACAATAAAAATCTATAACAATGTACGGAAATATATACTCATAAATGATGGGCTTTTAGGCTAAAACACAAATGAACTCGTAATGCACAATTGGTTCGATTGAACATTGTTTAATGTAGCGGGAAAATGTTCAGACAATTCTTATTAACGGTTGTCCATTACAAATTATCGGAAAAACATTGCTTATAATTTCCAGGGACTTGAATTTACGACATACCTACGTAAACTAGCACCGATCTCCCCCTTTTTTTTTCCATGCGGAAATCCCCTCGGATACTATAACAGCACGCCGTCTCGGGTACTAATAGTCGGGGAACTAGGTATACCCTAGAAAGGAAGTCCCTGGTGCGGCCCCGATCTCCCCTGGGTCAGACTGACAGTTGCCATGCCTCCGTAAGTTTTGATCCTTACATCCCACACCTGTGCTGTTTACTGTCAAATGTTTGAAATTATTTTACTAATGGATTAAGTATTTTTTTCAAGTAATATTTTTACAAGTTTTTTTTTTAAGTGGCAATACTCACATTGATTCATTTGGGTCAAATATTTTACACAGAGTTCAATTCATTTACTTTTATTCTATGGAGCTATTTTATTTATATAAGTACAGCGTATTTGTTTTAAAGGGATGGTCAGATTCTGATTGATTTCAGGCCCGGGATTGATATCTGACAAAGGATTTTTTAAGCTCAACAGTAATAATATACGACTTTATATACGCATTAAATTATTACAAAGTTCACCACGACCTACAGCATTTTTTTATTTGTGTTCTTTTCTCAATCGAGAACCAGTTTCCTTCTTTTAAAGTTGGTTAAAAATAGGTAATTACTAAAATAAAACATATAAATAAACAAAACAATGCACTCCAAAAGGATTTCTTCGAATAAAGATAGTTATTATGTTTGTTCCATGTACATTAGTACTTACATCATACGACATTTTCAGCTTCAGAATAATATAGATTTGTAAAGATTACTATGTCCGAGAATACCCATTCTTTTCAATTCGTTTCACCGTGTCGTAATCAATGACTCGGATCTACACTTCGGTGGATATTGTGCAGATGTTGTTCGCTGAGAGATATAGATTGCCTTATCGCGTGTTAAACTAGGCCAGATGGACGTCAGTTGACTGAGATGTTGTATTGAATTGTGTGTTGTAAATGAATTATCGGTAACTCGCTGTAATGCGTTTATTATTGTGTAGACTTGGTTAAGTGGTTGTTTAATATGACGCACAGTTTATTATACCCAAACTAAGAAAACTTCTAATCCTCTGACTGTTAAGAAATTGGACAGCAGTGAAACTGATAATCGGTGTAAGAGAAGTAAACTGAACTAAATAGATAGCAGTGGCGCTGTGCTCTAAACCATCAACAAAAATCATCATCATTCATTATGAATGATATGTATTTCGGTGATACTTTACCAGTTTCGGACCGAATAGGGAACATTTTTCAAGAGGCGAACCGACATTCCGCGTCGTTAAGTTTTAATTTCAACACTATCAATAGTCCAGAATACAAGTGATGACAATTATTGGAAGGAACAAAATAAGACTTTTATAATGTCTCTTTTAATTCGTTATGTAAAGCAGTTTTACTTGTTGTACTCTGTAATTTACATTTTATAGAAAATCACTTCTAAGAATTTACGTAATTACTGAAATTCGTATTCTATTGTTAGAATCAAAGGTCTCATTATAACAAAAAAAAGGTACAAATTTGAATGGACACTGATGTGATTCGTAGTTTCTGTGTTATTGTAATAATCATTCCCTGATTACTGTTCTTTTATACAAAAATTATACGGTTATTATGTTTGAGTCTCAGTCGGGGAAATTACACTAATTTCGAGCAAATTCCTTGCTTTGTTAGTTCGCTAGAGTGTTAGGCTTTACACTGAAACTAATTGAAATGCCGATTTTAGAACTTTTTGGCTGATACGAAGTTCTATAAAGTGAACAGTAAGTCTGACGAATCAGACATTGTACTGCTACCAAAGTACAGATTCGGTTAGAGCAAAAATCACTCGGTGGTGGGACTTTAGGTTAGGTAACATAACATAATCAATCATCAACTGCCTTGAATAGTTCACTGCTGGACATAGGCGTCTCCTTAGCAAGGAGGTTTTGATCTACGGGTTATGACAAGTTTTCCTTCTCTTTGCAGCCTGTTTGTCCTACATAGTTTGCTCTTAAGACACACATTAGGGGTCGTGACACTCCGCATTCTTAATCCGTCAATACACGGACTAAACATATACTATTTAAATATTTTCTAAGTCTTTTGTAACAGTTTGCATATTTTTGGGTATTCCAAATATAATTTTAAAATTAAAAAAAAAGGAATTTTGAAAATCGGTCAACGGTTGACGGAGTAATTGGTAACCATACATAAAAAAATACATTAGTGGAACATAGAATCTTCTCCTTTTATGAGGTCGGTTGAAAGCGGTACAAACGATAGCTTCTAGTAATATATAGAGATATATCGTGGTGTAGACAATTGCACTGTCTAATCAGTTACTCTGACTTTCGTTCGAAACACAAGCACAAATTTAGTCCTATTGTGTACTGTCCATGATCTAGGCCCTGATTGACAAGTTGAGTGTAATAATTAGATCAACGATTTATGTGGGAAACTAAATTATCTACATCATCATGTTCTATCTGATTATGCGCTGCTGATGTTCCCGCTAGGTAGTAAGTACAAGCCCTTGAATTACCTGACGTTTTGACCAGGTTACACTAACCGTGGTTACAGGCTGACTGGTTCAGCTGTGTTCGCCTTCCGCCATCGAGTTCGTGAGGTAGAAGATTCTTCATCCATCCGTACACCTCATATATTAACATTTGACAAATCATTTGGCGACTGGTTCTGACAACTCATATTTATCAGGTCACAAATCGTCATGATCATGTTCAAGGGCAAATAGGGTTAATGGATGACCGCTATAAGTGAAAGGGGCTTGTACCCTTGTCATGCCGTGCATAACTTATAGTGTGAATGGTTGAACTTCAAATTTACAGTAAATACCACAGGCTCGTATAGTAGATTTCAATCGAGTTTCAAAAATGTTGAATTCAAAGTTCAAAGAAAATTGGTTTTTCTTAAACTTAAATTTCATTCAATTTTTTCTTAACAAATAAATTTTAAAATTCAAACATTTAAAACAATTGAAAGAATGGATGACAGATATCAAGATTTACGTATTTTGGTACCAACTAGCTGCTCTGACAAACTTCGTTCTGTCCAAAGTTATTGGCCTGTCGCAGTCCAATGGCAAAAATAAATAAATAGAATGTATTTCAAAATGATCACTTTTTCGTTTTTTTTTTGAGCTGGTATAGATTAATATCCGTAGATCCTATAATAAAGTGAATAGGTGGAGCCATTCTCTAGTTTTGCACTTAGCAACATATTTGGTGGATAGATTATATGTCATGATGGCAAATCGAAAATTTTCTGAATATGGATGCATAAAGAATAAAAATATGAAATCCTTTAAATGGTTTTACATTAAAAATGTGTACATATTAAAAGCATTTTCCGAAGAGACTAATATTTTTCTATTACCCATTTTCGCAAACTAAGTATTGTACCTAATACTGATATTTGATTTTCCAAGGTAAAATAACATTTCTTTAATCCTTGATGAAGATAGATTAATTCTTAAAAAGTTGAGTGAGGTGGTAGGAAATGTTCCTCACAAACATGCGACAAAAACTTTTGTTCGATGTGCATCAACGTATGCAATATGTCGGTAGAGAAAAAGAAGAACTGGAGATGCCCCGATTGTTGCGCTGGGAAGAAAAAGGTTGGAGATAACAGCTCAACCCCTGTACGTCCTGCTGATGACAATGTTACACTGAGGAAGAAATGCAACGAAAATCCCGATGATACTCTCCATGTGGAGGTAAGGCAGCTAACAGAGGAAGTTCGTCTCCTTACGAGAGAAATCGCCTCGCTTAAGGGCCGCCTAGAAAATGCCACATCAGGTTTGACCAGCTGCCAGGCTAGACTAGATGAATTAGCGAGTACTACAGCCTCCAATGATTCCAGACTAAAAACTCTAGAAGGACGTGATAAGGAAGTGAAGCTGCTAGAAAACAAGGTGATTGAGCTTCAGCAAGAAATGAACTTCCAGTCGCAACAACATTTGCGCAATGAAATGGAGTTAGCTGGCATTCCTGAGTGTAATAATGAAAACCTGCAACACATTGCACTCTTAGCAGCGAAAAAAAAAATAGGTGTCGATCTGTCTGACTGCGATATCGACTGGGTGACCAGAGTTGGACCCCGTGTCAAGCGCGCTACTACTATTACAGAGAACGACACTACGTTCCCGCGACCAATAGTGATGCGACTCCTGCGTCGAAATAAGAGAGATCAGCTAATAAAAGCATCAAAATCTCGACGGAATGTAAACAGCTCTGACTTGGACGTTCCCGGCAAATCATATAAAGTCTTTTACAATGAACGGCTAACGAAGGAAAATAGAATGCTTTTTCGTGAAACAAGAACTAAAGCCAAAGAACATGATTACTCCTATTGCTGGGTCACTCAGGGTAACATCTTCGTCAAGCAACGGGAAGGTAAAGCAGCGCAGCCCGTACGTTCATTTGATGATCTCGCTCGCATCTTCGGGATCTGAGGTAACTTCAACGGTTCCTGCAAATGCGCTCTGTCGGTGTTATGGCAGTTCTCGTATTCATCTACAAGGTGCACTCGTGTTACCCTATTTATCTGTTTTTATTATGAACTTTCTATTACTGTTTTTTGTGTCAATTTTCTGTATGCTTATATATTTAGCAATCAATAATCTGACACTATGCTTATATTATTGTCACATTTCAAAAAGTACGCAGAATTGTGCTTGTCAGGATAGCTGTGCATTAGTCTACACTGAAACTAAAGGAAATTTTCTAGCATTTCTCATAAAAACATATGTGCACGCAAATCTCTGTTTGTGTTGTTTGGCAGTTGTCTCAATTTGGTGGTTGCAAACGATGTTTTTAATAAACTTATTGCTTAACGATGATTGATAGTAATAACATATCAGATGACTTGGATTCGATTGGTATTGAGTGCCACACAATACGGGCACCTGAACATTTTTACACTGCAATTACACCACATTACAACTTTAAAGTCATGACTTTTAATATAAGAAGCCTTAATAAAAATTTTGATAACTTTATGGTACTCCTAAAAAGATTCAAGGTTCATTTCGATGTGCTTATTTTAACAGAGTGCTGGCTTGACGAATTCACTATAATACCACAGATGTCTTCATATACCTCGTACAGTACGAAAAAAAAGTTGAACCAAAACAGTGGTGTCGTAGTGTACGCCAGGAGTACACTGAGGGTCTGTGTGTCAGAACCAGACATTGATGAAGCAAACTGCCTGCAAATTGTGCTCTCAAACTCAGTCGTAATTCTTGGCGTGTATCGCCCACCATCGTTTGCAGACACGAACAAATTCTTGTGCTCCCTTGATGTTGCCCTTGCGAATTTTTCCAACAAAAACTCAACTCTTATTATTGCAGGTGATATCAATATTAACCTTCTCTCGACCGCAAACGGTAAGGATTTAGAGTATACATGTCTCACCGCAGAACACGGGCTCTTGCCCGCAATAACGAAGCCGACAAGGGCTGAGGCTTGCCTAGACCACATTTTTGTTAACAGCTTTCAAAATGCGGTGGGTGCAGTGTGTTGCTCCGACATAACTGATCATTACCCGGTAATACTCGGCTTAGCCTTGAACAAAGAAAAAGCACCATCTCATAATAGAGTAACTATAAAACGGGACGTAGAAGCTATAAGGAGAGAACTAATGGAGGAAGACTGGTCACTACTATTTAATAGCAGCGATATTAACAATATAGTAAAAACCTTCAGTGAACGACTTGCAGAAATAATCAATAAGCACACCAAACAAATCACAATTAGCCACTCAAAATACAATATTAAACCTTGGATTACTCCCGGATTAATCCGCTGTATGCAGCATAGAGACAAACTACACATAAAGTCGAACAAACTGCCTCATGATGCAATTTTACACAAAACTTATACACGATACAGGAACTTCTGCAACGATCTCCTTCATAAACTCAAAACAGATTACGAGAATAGAGAACTGTCTAACAATGCAAAAAATCCTAAGAAAATGTGGAAAACTATAAAAACCATGTGTCACTTGAACAAGACGAACAATGAGCCTAAAGAGCTTCTAACACTCCAAGGTAGCTCTAGTGCCAAACAATCCCTGAACATATGCAACACCTATTTTTCTACAATAGGAGAGAAACTAGCAGATAAAATTTTAAATAACATACGGACGAATCAGGAGACACTAGCATCAAAAGTCTATAGTAAGCAAATTCTAAATTCCTTTTTCCTACATCCGACTGATGAATCGGAAATTGAGTCTCTAATACTGTCTTTGCAAAACGATAAAGCACCGGGTGTTGATGGTATAACCAATCTTCTCTTAAAGGATATTAGAAGTGTCATAATAAAGCCTTTAACATCCATATTCAATAAAAGCTTCAAATCGGGTACTTTTCCGAACTTATGGAAAACAGCTTCTATAATTCCTATTCACAAAAATGGAAGTAAGGAAGCAACAGAAAACTACAGACCTATTTCGCTGTTGACAGCCTTCTCAAAACTATTGGAGAAGGTAGTGAATAACAGACTTGTTAAGTACATCGAGAATGGTGATCTTATATCACACAGGCAATTTGGTTTTAGAAGAGGTAAGTCTACGGAAGAAGCTGTCACATTATTGACATCAACGGTTTCGGCTCATCTGGACCAGAACAAGGCTAGCATAGGCATCTTCCTAGACTTGGCAAAAGCCTTTGATACCGTCTCAATTCCAATTTTACTGAAAAAGCTGGAATTACAATTTGGTGTCCGGGGTATAGCTTTGGACTGGTTTAAGAGCTATCTGACAGAGAGAAGACAGTGCGTTAGAGTAGGTTGCTATGAAAGCGAGAAGAGATTTACTAGTTTTGGTGTCCCGCAGGGCAGTATTTTGGGACCAACTTTGTTCATCATGTATATAAATGATATACACGATAGCGTCGATGCTGACATCATATGCTATGCGGATGATACTGCCGTTATGTACCATGGACATACTTGGTCGGAGGCGTTCTCGAAGGCTGAGAATGGGATGAGGCAAGTGTACTCATGGCTACGGTACAATTTGCTTACACTGAATACTGAAAAGACTAAGTATATATGTTACCATAAAACTGCCATATCGGCCCCAAATACCACCCTTAGTATTAAAATACACCAGTGCGCCAACCAGAGTCAATTCTGCGATTGTGAGGAGTTAGTTAAAACTGATACTATAAAATACCTTGGTATAATGATTGACAAAAACTTAAATTTTAAAACTCACATAAGGATCCTATCAACTAGAGTCCGGAAGACGGCAAATGTACTAAAGCTACTTCGATCATCGGCATCGACAGATATATTGAAAGCCGTATACTTCGCCTTAAGTCAGTCACTCATCACATACTGCATCACCTGCTGGGGAAGCGCTTCAAAAACAGTGATGATACAAGTGGAAAGAGCGCAACGGTCTGTTCTTAAAACCATGCTGAATAAGCCCTTCCGGTACCCAACACAAATGTTATACAAGGAAAGTCAAATATTGAATGTCCGCCAGCTATATATTCTGAAAACAGTTCTCAGTGTTCATAGAATAGTAGTCAATTCTAATGACTACACAAATCTATTACAGCGTCGTGTGTACAAACTGCCAATGCCCGCCATCAACACATGCTTCGCTAGGCGTTTTAGTCCATTCAAGGACATCTATATTTATAATAAAATATCCAGCGCTTGCAATATAAAGCAATGCTCAGTGAAAGAGGTAAAGACTACGGTTTCCAAATGGCTCACTTCCCTATCCTATGATTCAACCGAAAATCTTTTAGTACATTTATCATGAAATGTGAAAGTATGTATGAAATGGTAAATAACTATTAACTACTATAAAACTCTATATATTTATATATATATGTATACTGTGTGTGTATATGTGACACACATCGATATTACATTATTATTTGTACTTATAATAACATACTTGCATTAATTAGTAATAGAATGAATCCTACCATTATTATTACTTATTTGCTTTTTTGTATTATATAATGATAGAAAAATCCTTCTTTTTTTTAAGTTTTTAAGTTGTCTTGTTAAAATTACTTTTAAGTCGTCGCCCGAGCAATGTATGTGGTAAAGTGTAAGCGTATCAGGCACCCACAGGACAGGCTTGCCTAGTGTGGGGCCACCGGCAATATTGTTAGTAATTACTTGGAAATAAATTATTATTATTATTATTATTATTATTATTAATATAATACACGTACAAGCAAATAGGCCACATTGAGGTTAATTTTACTGAAAATGAGTTATGTATATATTTTGTATCGTACTAATTCTGGTAGCTAATTATAGCTATTGAACACTGACCGACCGATTTAACCTTTTATCCTTTTGTAGAATTAAAACATTTAAATTAGAAGATGGTTCGAGACGGACGCTTAGTAAATTGGGAAATTTATCAGAGAACCAAGTAAAATGCTACTGTATTATTTGTTCATTCATTTTAAAGTAAGAAAAATTGTTGAATTATCATAAATAATGTGAAGATAATAGTATCAGAGCTTATTACATCAAGAATAGATTTAGGTTTTGTTAGCATTTACCTTAAACTTAAGACATGAACATAATACAGTAATAAAAACTAAGTATGGCTAGATTTTACTCTCATGTGAAATGGAGAAAAATCCTCTAGAAAGGAAGAAAGAATTTATATTTTCTTTCTAACAGGAGATACAGCAGGTTTCTCACGAATTATGATTTGTTTGTCTGCGAAATAATCACTTCTGGCTTAATATTTGGTTTTTGTTGTCAAATTATAGAGAAGAATGGGGTGTAGTTGGCAATGAGGTACCTTCAAATGGACTGTTTGCATCATTTGCATTTAAAACTAACTTATTGGAAATTTCTCAACTGTATATAACAGCCATGTTTCGGCACATGTAAGCCGGCTCGACCGGATAACCGTTGTTTAGCAATTCTTTCATTGCTTTATACCAAGTTAGTGAAGTTATCCGGAGGGGGGGGGGGGGAGAGGATTCTGCACAGTGAAGTTCTTGCAGGTCTAATCTTTCCGGGGCTCTCATAGGCCAGCAATTCGCTTGACATCCAAGTTCCTGTAACTTTTCTGTTCCTGTTCTTCATCGGAGGAAGTCAACCACCACACACCGCAACCAGTTGGTTTGCCAACTGTACCTTAAAAATACTTAATGTAAAACAGGAGAAACTCCAGTTTTTTCCCATAAAATATAATGGACACTACTTTGTCTTTCCTCTGGCACGACATGATTTGTCAAACAAATCCCCTGGGTCACTCTTGCGCAATTCGTAGTCTGGTACAAATAAAATTGCTTCAATTGGCAAAGAAAAAGTAAATCTAGTGCATAGCGGGCCTAGCTGATGAACGCTATCGGTTTTACAAAAACACATAAGATAGACTCAAAGAACACTTAGAATCTGTACAACAATTTGTGGATTATACAAAATGTTATCCCATGTGAGGATTGATCAGCGT